AAACTGATGTCTGATTTGTATATTTTACTGTATTGGTTAAGACATAGTCTGGCTTTCAGTGAATGTTTTTTCTTCTTGGTTTTTGTGTTAATGACACATAATCTATATAGGAAACTGAAGAGCTATTCATATGTAGAAATTATTATTATTATTATTATTACTATACAGTACTATACTAGATATGTAATTTCCAGTATAATTTATGAGTTTGTAGAATAGTCACTGCTAAAACAACATAGTATACATAATTGAATACATAAAGCGGGAAATGACATAGGTTCTACAAGTTCGTGGGAAACAGCACAAGGTCTAAAGGTTCAGCACCATGGACTGAGACACAGGGGCAGCATACCAGGAACCGGCATAAGTTCTAAAGGTTCAGCACCATGGACAGAGACACAGGTGCAGCATACCAGGAAACAGCATCAGCACCATGGACAGAGACACAGGGGCAGCATACCAGGAACCGGCATAAGTTCTAAAGGTTCAGCACCATGGACAGAGACACAGGGGCAGCACACAGGAAACAGCATAAGTTCTAAAGGTTCAGCACCATGGACAGAGACAGAGGTGCAGCATACCAGGAAACAGCATCAGCACCATGGACAGAGACACAGGGGCAGCATACCAGGAACCGGCATAAGTTCTAAAGGTTCAGCACCATGGACAGAGACACAGGGGCAGCACACAGGAAACAGCATAAGTTCTAAAGGTTCAGCACCATGGACAGAGACAGAGGTGCAGCATACCAGGAAACAGCATCAGCACCATGGACAGAGACACAGGGGCAGCATACCAGGAAACGGCACAAGTTCTAAAGGTTCAGCACCATGGACAGAGACACAGGGGCAGCACACGGGAAACAGCATAAGTTCTAAAGGTTCAGCACCATGGACAGAGACACAGGGGCAGCACACAGGAAACAGCATAAGTTCTAAAGGTTCAGCACCATGGACAGAGACACAGGGGCAGCATACCAAGAAACAGCATCAGCACCATAGACAGAGACACAGGGGCAGCAGACAGGAAACAGCATAAGTTCTAAAGGTTCAGCACCATGGACAGAGACACAGGGGCAGCATACCAGGAAACAGCATCAGTACCATGGACTGAGACACAGGGGCAGCACACAGGAAACAGCATAAGTTCTAAAGGTTCAGCACCATGGACTGAGACACAGAGGCAGCATACCAGGAAACGGCATAAGTTCTAAAGGTTCAGCACCATGGACAGAGACACAGGGGCAGCATACCAGGAACCGGCATAAGTTCTAAAGGTTCAGCACCATAGACAGAGACACAGGGGCAGAACACACGAAGTTAAAGCACAGATGTCACAGGCTACCTAAAACCAACTTTGGTGTAAACACACCCAGTGACCCACAGTGCAATTAACACTATTCATTGCAATTAACAGCTATTCAAAGCTAATCATTCCCACTAAACAAAAAAACAAAAAAATTTCCTTGTAGTGACACATAGACTCCCTTTTAAGTTTCAAAATTTTATATTGGCAGAATCATTATATCTTTTAATTTAAGTAGTTTTGGCCTGATAAAATGTACAAGGATAACTGCTTGTAAACAAACTATCAAAACACTATACTATACGGATTTGTAGCCATAGCATAGGACACATCTTGCCATCCTTACAGCTGGAAAACATTAAAACTATTTTAGAGTCTAATCAGACATGAATAACTTGGAAAATAATAAGAGTAGTTAATATTTAGACAAACTCTTTGCTTTAATTCTTAGTTTGTACAGTTGTATATTTGCAGGACCTTTCCAAATATTTTCACTGAGGTCTGCAAATATAAATTATTTCTGTTGCCAAAACTGTTTTCTTTGCAGGTTTCTTTATGTTATAGTTTTTATTAGGGCAATATTTAAAGGTTTTGGCACCATGAAGATACAGATAACAGGGGACAAGTTTATCATGTCTGTGTCACAAGATTCAATATTAAATAACTGCTCATGTGAAGAGCTTTTAAAAAAAAATCTTCACACTCATAACTCTGGATTGCATACTGAATTTATACCATTCAGAATAGCACTGCACGTACCACTATTATTGTAATGATTGCTGTGCTCAGAGTCCTAGATGTGTTCTCATAAATGTCTATTCATATTTGATAAGGTAATGGGGCATTCATTTTTCACTCAGTGGTGATGAGTGGAAGGTGCTGCCAGCTGTGTTATTATAGAATTTTTGCATTTGTTCATCAGCTGTTTTTCAACCATACACACACAGAATGACAGTCTCATTTTCTGTGGTGGCAGGAGGCTATGACCTCTGACACTTGTGCATCATTGACTGCACAGATTAGTCATCACCAGTGCATCTGAGCAGTAGAAGTGGAACTGTGCAGTCATGGTTTGATGTGGATATTATACTGACCTCTTTTACACTGACCACTGCTTGCAGAAAAATGTATTTTTCAAATGTACCTCTGCCTCCATAACAGCATGTTCTGCTTCTTTCTTTGTGACTGTTGAATGATCTCAATAAACAGAGCTAAATGATGCTTGAAACACTAACATATCTAAATGCCATTCCTCCAGGAATGCAGCAATGTTAGCTTATTGTGAAATCTCTAAAACTGAAGTTCAATCAACTTGCTGGTAATAACATTTTCAAACATAAGACAGATCCTTTGGTGAGGTCACTCCTCCAAACTACAGTACAAATTATTATGTGGCTGAATCATTTCTCCACCATGTTAATATTAAAAGCATCAGCTTTGGAGGATGAGATTGAGAATAGTCAATTAAGGATGTATCTCACCGTCAAACTCCTGCCACATGACTTGCCATCTGAGTGATAACAATGAGGACAGGTTTGAATTCTACTCTGGAATTATCAGAATACATTTTATCATGTTTAACATTCTCCAGCAGTCAAGAGAGTCAAATAATTTGTCACAAATAAATCACTAATACTATTATAGATATAGCAGAGTGCTCAGTGATGGGTTTTGCTCCGACTGTTGATGGACTCCCTTTTAATAACGGATGTTTTTGTGCTTTCTTAATGATTTCCTCATTGATAATGCCAAACATCAAACTAATAAAAACCTTAAAGCATAAAAACCCATTAGACATTATTAATCTTAAGGACAAGAAAGATCATCAGTACTTGCTGGTGATATTTTATGTCTTGAAGGAAAAATTGTAAGATGAAGATGCAAACAAACCTTCAATTTTTACTCTAACAATTTTTTATTAAAATCTGATGACAAAATTTGTTTTTAGAGGGAATATTGTAGCTGTGAAGTGTGTCACCACCTGCACAAAGAGACAAGCAGCATCTAACAATGGGAAAGCAAATGAAGGAACCATCTACTGTAGATCATTCAGTACTTAGGTGGATGTTTACTGTACAATAAGTTGGCAAATCAGACTATTGGTTTGATGTTTAGGTTGATAAATGCAGCCTAGAAAACCAGGCAGAATTTTTAATGCAGAGGAGACAGAGCTCTGCATCTTCTTTCTTTAAAGAGCCCATGGCATGCTTTTCCTTGTTTTCTGACTTTCTACTATGTTACAAGGGTGAATTATCATCTTAGACGTAACCTAAAACTCAAAAAATGAGGCTTCCTTGTTTTCGTATTTTTATGCAAAAGCAACTCAGTTTGTACACATCTTGCAAACTCTCGCTAGCAAGAATTTTTTTCTAACAAAATTAAGTATTACATGATAGTTTAAAGATCTTCTTGAATGGCCATAATCTCCAGGCAGTTGCACATTAATGTGAGCTTGATTAACGATCCATTATGTGGGACTGTATGTGGTCGTGTGGGTGGAGATGCAGCGACCACCGGTTGGATTTACTGACCTTGGAGCTACTTGAAAGGGAGTGATGTTTCCACTACTCAGTGGGACTTAATGGTAAGTTAAAAAAAAAACATGTTGCATGTCTGTTAATGTCTTGTTTCTGTAACCTTAGAGAGAATTGTTATAAGGCTGGAGAAGTTACTGTGTCTGCATTATGCCAGTTAAAATATGGGGTTTCTCAACCACCTGCTTTGTTTAGAGTGCTACACATCTCTTTTCATTGGTACATATATCATTGTTTACCTATCTGAGGAGGAGAACATGCCAGAGAGAATTTGAGGTGTTGTTGTTGAAAACAGCTTATTTGTCAGTGTTTTTGTTTATGTGTTGTCCTGGCTTCCTGACCAGTCTTGTGTCAACAAGTGTTCCCCTGTCGAGATGTTTTAAAATAGTAGCATCCAGGAATATGCTCTGGTATGTCTTTACAATTCATCCCTAGGCTTCACAAAGATTTAACAAGATAAGATCGAGACAATCCCCTTCACAGACAAAACTACACTGAAACTTAACTGGTGGCTTTGTTTGCTTCTGGGGGTAAAGTCAGACATGAATTACCTGCATAAACATGATTTTCCTCATCGCTTTTCTAAATTTTCTACAAAACTACCATGTGAATCACATCTTCCACGTTCACAAATACTTTGTCTCCAAGCCATGAGCAAAACAAATATGATTTAAAAAATAATAATAATAATCAACATCCACGAAAACAACTCATTACACAGTAGAAAGTCAATGCTTTCACAGCAGACTGTAGCTGCATTACATATTCTGCTCTGCTACAATATAAGTTGAAGTCACAAGAACTTTGACATGCTTTTACAAGTTGCTGTCTGGTAAATGTTAAAATCATAGTAGTGAATCAATTAATTGATTCAGAGGGGATTTTCTTCAAAACAACATGACAACAAACAGACACTTCGGCATTTAGGAGTCAAGGGACGTTCCAAACTAAAAGTCTTAGAAATGCCTGAGGAAGTTTGTGTTCCCAAGAGAAACAAGAAAAAAAAAAAAACAGACCTCAGCAAAACACTGTCTTTCAAAAAGAAAGTTTCTGTGAAGTGTGTACTGTATCTCACTGGCTCTTCCTAATGGCATCTCGTATTGCAAGCAGCTCAGATGTTTTTTGTTAAAGAGAGAAACAGAGAACATAAATAAGACTCACCAAGAGGCTGCCCAGCGATAATACGGGCATTTTCCCCCGCCACAGCTGCTCGGGCATTTCTCTCATTCATGTACTGTACGAAGGCGTAACCCTTGTGCACGGAGCAACCGACGATCTTGCCGTACTTGGCAAAAATGACTTCTATGTCAGTCTTCTTGACGATGGCTGTGTTCAGGTTACCAATAAAGACTCTGGAGTTGAGGGAACGTGGATCATTCTTGTTGGTCACGTTGCTGGTCTGGGTTTTACCAGTCATTCTCCTCCAGTTGCCCTCCTGGGAGAGAGAAAGAGTGGGGGTGGGGGGACAGGGCTTTAGTGGTGTTGGCCAGCCCAACTCCAACTAATTCCGCTCCATCAAAATTTAATCATTAAATGAGATATCATTTAATACAGTTTTCTTTATAGTTTTATCTCTGTGTACAAATTAGTTATTTTTCAGAACAATACTGACATTTTCCACTACACTACATTTAGTTTCTTCTGTGCAACATTACATTTTTTTTATTCTTTTACTACAAAGCAACTCTTTAACACATTTCAGCAAATGATTAAGTACAACTGTTTGAGCAACAATTATCAGTTGTGTATGTCATTCTGATCAAAACAGATCAACTGCCTTTTTTGATAAAAGATTGTCTTGTCTTATGGACAAGGTCACTGGCCAGTCAGCAGCTTAGCTAAGCCACAGTTTGCATGGCTGAAATGCTACTGTACCACTGGATGGCTGACTGGGGGGTGTAAGAGGGAGCAACAATATGTGAATGCCACAGCAGTTTTCTCTGCTTTGTGACAGACTGAATACTGTGCTGTAGCTGTCAGTGGGAAAGCTTTGCTATCTCATTAGCCATGTTGTTGCTTTCCTAATGCTTTGTGTGCCATTTCACTGATCACACAATGTGTAGGCGGTAATTCATGTTACAGACTTATTCAGACTTTTCTGTGCTGTCAACTTATCAGTGTACATTAGCCTCAGCTTTTGTAGGCCTCCCCTGCAATTATTGCTAAGTGACCTTTTCATAACCTGAATGTTAGTTTTCATGAAAGATGATTGGCTGCTGGATCGGGAAAATTACACCTACCCAAAGAAAGGATGCACTACCGAACAGTTATTACTGTACAAGATAGACAGACAGATAGATAGATAGATAGGTAGATAGATAGATAGACAGATAGAAAGATAGATAGATAGATACATGTTTGTCATTGCGTTCCCCACTAATTTTCTTTTTAATGAAGGCTCATGATTTTATATGCCAAAATGGATTACACTTTGTGCACTACATGTGGTGAAGAAAACACTGAATATTTAATTTTTGCCTCCTCTGAGCCTCTGTCCCTGACACACGGTGATAACAACGGCTCAGCTTTGAGACGAAGGACCTAAATAATGGATCCAATCCTCAGTAAAAAGGATTAGTAACCAAGGTAACCCTGATGTTGTTGGAATATCGTATGCACACACACACACACACACACACACACACACACACACACACACACACACACAGTGTCACTAGCAGTCTTTCTTTCTCTTTTATCCAACTTACTATAATTTTCCAAAGTAGATACTGTGCGGTCTCTTTATCTTCACAATTACATTATGTAATTTTATTGTGAAGTGCTATCGTTTAATGGGTTTGTTCAGCTAATTATAACATGAGATTTTGTCAAAAATACAGCACAGGCATGTAATTTACTGTATAAACTGAGTGATGGTTGTAAGGTCACTTGTTCTTGACCTACAGTAGATGGATGAAATTCCCCAGTCATCCAGAAGTAGGAGAGCAGCCATGTGATTTACAGAGGAGAGATTCACTGTCAGGCATCCATTACACCCGAGACTGTGAGACATTCAACTGCTCATTCATGGATAAACACATATTATTTCACTTGGCAGCACTTGTTTTTAGCATTATATGAACTAAAGTTTAAGACTGTTCGCGTTCCCATGACGAATCAGTACGGGTGGTTGAAGATTCACGCCTCCTATGGGCTCAGTGTTTGCAGTGCTGCATCAGTGTGGGTTATTTCTGTATGCGTGTGTGTAGGAACAAACTGCTGCTCACCATCTCTCAAGTGGCCTTGACATCTAGCAGAACCAGACAATGAAAATTAATTTAGCGTAGGCACACACATGCATGTGCTAACTCAGATGAGCTCCACAGTGACCACCTAATGGTAGTTAAAACCCACAATCTGACACCCATTATGTTCATGGTCAGGTCACAGGAAACATGACACATCAGTGGAGAAATGTTAAATTGCCTCTCTTGTCAGATAAATCAGGAGTGGGTATGGAGGTCATGAAGCCCTTTTACTGCTCCTAACTGTTATATTTCATGCCTCTGTTGTTTTCTTTATAGCAGGACACTAATTTATTCCATCTGTTTCCCTGCTGACCTTGCCTTGTAGTTTATTTGCAACCTCCATTAAGCTTCATCCTGCATCATAAGGAAAAACATGGGGAAACAACACAGGAAGTGAAAGGCACCTTATGTGCATCTGGCAAAATAACTGAGGCCTCGACATGTATGAAAAGCTCAAATACTGTAATTGATGAGCTGGTTTCCAGAATCTGCACTTTAAAAGTGATTACAGCTTCTACAGTACCACCTTTTTGTCAGTAAAGAGCAGACAGATAAGTCTTCATTTTCACTTTCATGCCAGCATGCCCATTTGTCAAAACCTTTTTGGAAAGAAACACTCTGCTATTCTGGCATTACAGAAAATCCTGGCATGCTGTGCCAGGTGTGAAAAAAAGCACCCCAGTCTCATGGCATTAATAATGCCATAGGGATAACTTTAGCCAAAAAGGTGCCAAGGTTACAAGGTTGACAGGACTGCAGTGTTAGTGTCTGAGTGAAAAAGGGAAGGAATCGGTTCAGAAGCAGCCATATTACAGGGTTCTCTTTTGCTCTATTGTGCCTTGGTAGACAGGCTCTTAAAAGGTTGTTGTTTGGGCCTGGACACCTGCCTGATTTATAGACATTTTTTCATGGGGGGAGGGGACTCATTCAATTGATTCCTTTTGTAATTTCCTACTACTCCACCACTGTGCATTTCTCTTTGCCATGCCTCAGCCACTCTGCTCTGATTGTTGCCAAGGCAGCTTGATGGGCTGAGAAAAAGCTGGAAAAGCTGTTCACTCAAACAGAACAGAGAAAGGTAGCCCGATACACCTTTTCCAATGCTTGCTGCCATGTACTGCAGAGGTGGAATAATTACTTCATGATTTCTTTCATTCATATCTTGTCCTAAAATGTTTCTTCCTGCATGTAAAAGCAACAGTGATGACTAAGAAGAACAAATCCCTGATGCTTGTAAATCAATGCCTCCATTTGTATTGTTAGCTGCAGATCATCTGTGGTGCACCCTGCCATACATTAGTGCAGCCTGGTCAGAGACCAGTTATTCTGCTCTCAAAGACAAAGCTTTACTCAGATTTTAGGAACAGGAATTTTAAATCAATATAAACACAATAAGGGCTTTAAAACAATTACATTGCACAAAGCATATTCAATGATTCTACTGCCCTCTTGAAAAATTAGTTTAGTCTTTGATAATGAGAAACCTAATTTTCTCACACTTGCAACCCTTTGGCTTTTATGAGCTGGGATTCAACTCAGTAAGTCGACTATAGCAGTCTATAAAAGGAACAGAACCATCATTTTACCAGCTAAGGGTGCTTGAAGCACAATAACAGCATAAATGAATTACAGTGAATGGGACATTTACACAACATCACTATTTATGATTATTACAAGTCATTACAGTGGGATTATTTTTCCTGAGCAGTACTTGTAAAGAAAAAGACAGTAAAATTTCTTGTGGTACTGTAAGTGCTTTTTATTTATGATGGTGTGAAGCCACACCAACAAGAATATAACCTCAACCAGCTCAGGCCGTTTAATGTCTTCCAGGTGTCTTTTAGAAGTTCACGTATCAGATATCAGCATTTTGAGCAGGATCGGAGCTGAGTACTTTTACTTAGGCTAGTTGTAGATGGATAGTTTTTCTCTGCCATTGTTTCTTGGTTGTATATTGTCTTCTTTTATATTATTCCTATTTACATGTATATCGCTGCCAAATAAATGTTCTCTTTTGAATAATAAAGTGAAAGTTGTTTTGAAACCATTATGGGTAATGTGAACGGGGCAGCTTGAAGTGATTTGAAGTTAGCAACTTGCTAACATACTGGAGGATTTAGCAGCTAAAAAGACAGTGGAACAGCTGTGTGTGTGTGTGTGTGTGTGTGTGTTTTTAACCCCAGGAGGCACTGGACTTACAGTACATTAGCCAGATGATCAGAAATACAAAATAAAATAAATGTTACTGATTCTCTGTGTCTGCTAAACATGTAAGTAGGAAACTGTTTTCAAACATCATTGCCATATCAACTTTTTAACCTTAATTAAAATTGCTTTGATTTGAGTTATATTATTTAAAGTTATGAGCTTGTGTCACTACTTGTGACACTATATTCTTTTAGTAATTTTAGCCCACAGTATCTGTGTATTTTTACAGTACCTGTATATGCTTTTTAACTTGGGTGGTTACTATTTTTATGGTCTTGGCAGAAAGACTGTACTGTACATACCTCATACATCTTATCCGACTTCATTGCCAATGCCTCTCTCAGCAGGGCATTATTCTCCCTCCTGCAGCAAAAATCTCATTTCACTACAAATAGTGGCTACATACTCTGCAGCTCAGAGCATTTTTCTATTCCTTCCAAACTCTGTTCACAGAATATTCATTGTCTATTAGAAAAGCCGAAGCAATGACACAATTAGATAAAATGCAAATAGAGCCATTTCATTCACCTGCAGTGGATGATATGCGATGGGAGACGGTCTTGTGTGCCAGGGCATGGCAGACATGGCATGATATACAAATAAAATCTGTAAATGTTCAGGGGGAGTCCGTTGTTGTGATGGATGGGGGAACAGTTCAACTGAAACAGCAAAATTTCATTCCGTTGTATGGTAGTATACAGCTGCACAGAGCTGAAACTAATCCGGTCAAACACAGTGAGGTGTCACGCACAGAATACATCAATCTCTGTCTGGTCTTAATCCAGTTTTACTGGTACAGATAGCACCAGGGTGTATGATATAAACCCCACTCTGCATGATTGCTTTGAAAGCTTTGAAGAGGAACAATATCCACAGGATACTGAACAGGATAAAAGCTCTCCCGCCACATTGCATTGGGATGTTCTCAAAATGAGCAGGCAGACAAACTGCATCTGTTTCTGAGTTACTAAATACAATA